GGTGGGGATGGAGAGAAGGTGTAGGGTGTGGTGGGGATGGAGAGAAGGTGTAGGGTGTGGTGGGGCTGGTGGCCTCAGGGAAGCCCCAGGGAGGGGGGTGGTGCCCCGTGGAGCCCATGGTGACAAACACAGGTGTCACCCTGCTCCTGGAAGGGGGTGGCTGTGGTGAGGATCACGGCCTCCTCCTCTCCTTGCTGCTGCACCTGCTGAGGGAGCAGCTGAAGGCAGTGGAGAGGAAGAATTTCTGAAGGCAGAGAGACCTTTGCACCTGGCTCACAAAATTAAAAATTAAAGATCTCAGGGGAGATCTTTGCTTTGACACTCACAGAGCACTCGGGGTGGGGAATGCTGAGCCCCTGGGCCATCGTGTCTGTGCCAGCCCAGCTCTGGGCACTGGGGATCATGGTTGCTGCAGGGAGCACAAGCCATGGCTGTGTCCCCTCTGACACCAAGACATTTTAAGTCTAACAGCAGTCTAAGTGTTTTAGAATAATAACAATTTTTAGTCAAAGTTGTGAACATATTGGAAATATGTTTTCCATATGAAATATGTTTTCCATAGACGTGTTCAAAGAAACAACCATTTCCAGGCATTTTCATACGCTATAGTATCCAAGATTTTTTCATATATACGCTCAAAAGTGCTCTCAATTTTTACATCATGGTATTTTTGTTTTGTTTCTTTTAACTACTACCACAATATGCTGTCTCTCTTAGATAAATGCATAAGCCAAGTTTTGTCCAGCTAAACAATTATGTATCAGATTTGATGTACTGGTTACACAATTCGCTTTTCTTGAGTTTTCTTAGTTGCACAAGCTTAGAAATGGCTCCCTTATTGCCGTTAAAATTTATGTCTTACAATTTATTATCAAGTCTTTTGGTGTGTATAGGCCTCTGAATTCCTAATTCTCTCAAGATATCATTCTTGTTCTATGATGTCCAATTAATTTCTAGCTGTATGATAACCATTAAAAATACATTATTGAATTTTGTTCTCCAGCTATTGAGTAAGTTCTCTATGGGGTATGCGCTGATAAAGTTTTTTACTGACACTCAGCCAACACAGATCTAAATCAAAACCAGCTAAAAAACCACAGTCAAATAAGCCTTGACTAATTAAAAATAGTTCATTACAGAAATTTCAAAACAGTCACAGAATTCCTGGCTAACTACCTCTCTGTCCCCTCCCTCCAGCCACATTCCCGGCTGGCAGCAGCAGCCAGAGGAAGCCGGGAAGCGCTGGCAGAGGGGGCAAAGGCAGCTCAGGGTTCACGGTGCTGTTTATTGATATCAGACCTCAGTGGGAGGCAGGAACCAGGGGCCAGGGGGAATTTTGGGATTAAAGCCATGTTGGGAAGGGTTCTTTTGGGGGTCAAGTGCTCTACGACCTGGGAGGGAGGAGCAAATCCATGCTCCAATGTGCTCTCTGCAGAGCATTCCTCCCCCATGGCCCTTTTCACTGCCTGTGCTCCCTTTCCCTGCAGGAATAAGGGTGGGAGGGTGATCCTAAGTCACTGCCCCATGGTCCTGCATGGGGGCACCTGAAGGGTTCAACAGGCTCAGAGCCCTCGTGTCCATGGTGGCATCATTACTGGGGGCAGTGCTCCCTTCTGGCTCCTCAAACACATTCTGGAGGCACTCCCTGAGGGACCCCATGGAGCAGCACCTCCAGCACTTTGTTACTGAGATGTAGATGAAGGGGTTGAGGCTGCTGTGCATGCAGGCAAACAGGAGAACAACCCGGGGGGACACAGTGGTGTAGCCGAGCTGCTGCAGGAAATTCCAGAGACTGAGGGCGAGAGTGAGGAGCACAGTCAGGAAGACAATGATGTCAAGGCTCTTGGATTGCTGCTGCTGGGAGCTACCCTTGAAGTGAATGAAGAAGATTGTGCTGGAAATGACCATGGATGGAGCAAAGACGAGGAAGTTGAGGATGTACAGGGAGATGAGAGCCCCGCGGCAGCAGAGCTTGTGTTCCTGTGACTGGCACAGGGAATTCACTGCAGAAATGGCAGCGATGGCAGTGATGGAAAGGGCCCAGAGCATGGCACTGACCACCACCCATGAGAGGCCCTGGGGAAGGTGGCAGAAGAGCCCAGGTGGGCAGAGCATGGACCTGCCCCTCTCGATGCTGATGGCCGTCAGCTGGTACAGCCCTATGCTGTGGAACATCTGGAAGAGGAGGAAAAGGAAGCGTATGGATGCTGGGGACATGATGGAGGAGCAGGAGAAATCCTCCTGCAGGAAGAGCAGAAAGGAGGGGACCATGAAG